ATTCTATTTTCTTAGTCCATATTCAAACTGTACCTTTGTACTTTGTGGTAGCACTATTAGTGCTATTTTTATCTTCTTGCTTACAGCTTTATGAGTTTCAACTGACTTTGTGCTGTTTGATTGCTTTAGTGGATAACATATAAATAATTTATTTTTTTATAGTACAAAAACTATGAGATATAAGATTATATGTCAAGTTATATATATATATATATTTATATATATATTTTTTCAAATAACTTAAGTACAATTTATAGGATATATTATATAAAATGATGGTTATGAAATAGATTCTAAAAAGAAAAAAAAATATATGTTAGATATTTACAAAAATATTATGTAATTTTTAGAACTTTATAAAGTTTGTAAATTATTATTGAATTCTTATAAATTTTTTTTAAGATGTTACTTTTTTTATACAATTAAATTTTAGAAAAAAATCAAAATAGAATAAAGATGCAAAAATATCATTTGAAAGTTACAAAATAATTTTTATCTTAGATTTTAATGTATAAAATTTAAATATATTTATGCAAAAAAATACATCAAATTTTACATTAAATATAGTTTTATTATAAATAGATGTAGATAATATATTTCATCTTGTTTTTTTTTTTTTATTAATTGGCTTGGTTAATTAAATTCAAAAAAATTTAGACAATAAAAGAAAACCTATATTAGTGGACTTTAGATAATAGCCTAATATGGATTAAAAATATTTAATCTACATAAGAACCAAATTTACTTAATTTGATTGAGATTTCAATTATTAAATAAAGATAGGCCAAAAATATATGACCTATTTAAGAATTAAATACTAAATCTAGATTAAATTAAATTAAAAAAAAAACAAAATAGCTTTTTAAGTAAGTAAATTAGCCGCCCTCATTAAATAAAAGTAAAAAAAGTATAATAAACTTGGATTGAGGAGTCTCTCTCATAGTTTGATATTTTTTTATCTTCTTAAAATCATAAGTCTTATCCAAACTATTTGATGCAAACTTGATTTTGATGTTCTTTCATCCTTATCTTACTTTTTGATACTAATCAAAATGACATTACTTAATCCAAATTGTAACTATATTTAGTATAAATTATTTTGAAATTAAAGTTTTGTTTCAACTTATTTATTTTGATAGAAGTTAATTGTACTTGATTTTATTATAAGTTGGTGTAGATTTAAAATAAAACTATCCAAGACTTTTTAAAGTTGGCTATTAAATTTTCGTTAAATTTTTTATAAAAATTTGTTAACTTCAAACTATTAGAATTTGAATTGATAAATGCTTGTAGAATCAAAGGAAAAATTGGAGATTCTACAAAATATTATTTGATTTTAAATTCAAAGATATAAGTTTTCTTTGTCTTATCTTTTCAATTCTTCTACCTTCTAACTTTAATGATTCTTTTAGAGGGAACATCTTTTTAACCAATATAATATTCAAGTTTAAGACTTTTATTCAAAAAAAATTTGAAGCAATTGAAATTGATTGTGAAACTTATGGCAAAAAAATTCTTATTATTATAAATTTATTTCAAAATAGAAATTTTTATTTAGAAGAATTTTTTTATTTAATTATAATTTATATGAAATATACAAATCTTAAGTATTTCATTTCAACACTTATCAAGTTAAAATCAAGGCCATTAGAACATATCTTTGTTACAATTTATATTTAATATTCTATATACATATATATTTAAAAAATAACAAGGCTTATTGGATTTCTTATCTAGACGTTTTTATGTTGTATGAAAGAAATTAAATGTAATATAGAATCAACAATAGATCATCTTTTTGAAACCAAGGAAATTACTTTTTTAAGCCATTAAGTCAACAATTCTAGTTAATATAATTTATTTTGGTGATTTTTTTTAAGTTTATTAATAAACCTATTTTTTCTTGATGTTAGAAATCAGTTTTATAATTACTTTATAAAAAATTAATTTTAAAGATAAACTTTTTAATTATAAAGGGCATTTATATATTCCAACAAATAAAGCACAATTATGTTTACTTTAAGCATACTATGACTTTTGAGCAATAAAATAACTTACATATAAAAAAATTTTGAGCTTATTTCAATAAATATTTTTTGGTGTTAAAATATTTGTTTAATCTAGTAACATTGGTTTAAAGACTACATGTTATCAATTCTACAATCATCTTTAATCTCTACCTATTCTAAATCTTTAATAATCAATTTCAATGGAATTTTTTATAAAAAATTTAATTTTAAATTCTTATATATATATTTTAAAAATAAATTATGGAAATAAAATAGTATATTTTTTAATTTTTATAAGATTAATAATAAATAGATAAATAGCTATGTATTTATTTATTTATAATATTTATTGATATTAAAAACTTTCTAAAAATATTATATTTAATGAAATATTCCAATTTTTATTAAGATTTAGTAGAGATTTCTCTAAAATAGTAAAGATAGATATTAATTTATTTTTAATTTTTTATCTTTCAATTAAAAATAAAATAGAATAGGTAGATTAAGTATTAAAATAATATCTGAAATAGAATAAAAATTAATTTAAAGATGTCAATTCTATTACTATTAAAAAATACAAATATGATAATATTATACATTCTCTATCTTTCAACAAATTTTAATTTATTTATGATTATCATCTATAAATATCAAATTTCTTGATTATGATTATCATCTATAATTTGATAATATCATTCAACAAATTTTAACTTTTGATACTTTTGACTGTTTAAAATTTAAAAATCTATCAGCAAAGGAATTACCATATAAAATAATAAAACTTCATTTAAGAATAAAGGTACAACTAAAAAAGGTTAAAAATAATAAAAAACTAATGTATGTAATCTTTAAAAAAAATATCTATTCAAAGTAGACAATAAAATATGGTTATTTTTTTTAATGAGTTAAAATTTAAAATTTTTGATTTATTTATTATTCAAAATTAAATTAATATAATTAAATATCAATTATAATTACTATAATTAATAAAAAATTATTTTGTATTCTACCTTTTTTTTTAAGACTAATAATATAATCAATATTTTAGAAAAAAAGAAATTATTACCACCTATTTTTTAAATAAATAATCTTCAAAATTTTAAAGTAAAATAAGTCTTTGGATTCAAAGAATTGCCAAAATAAATTAGAATATATTATACATTTGTATAAATATAATATTGGTAAATGTATATTATAGCAATGTAAGAATCTTGAAAGTACTTTAGAACTTAATAGTGCTTTATATTGACCACATATATTAAAAATAAAGATAAATTATTAAAAATAACATGGTATAATTTAAAGTTTTATTTATTTATTTATTTATTTACAATTAATATAGAAAATTCTTTTGCAATATAGAGAGCCAAAAATTTGTGAAATCATCTTAAAAGTTGTCAATTATAAAATTTTCAAAGTGAACACTTTCATTATCTTAGTTTAAACAAAGTTCAAATCCTAATGAAGATCCTCAAGAGAAACATGTTCTTCTTCAAATAAATGGCAAGATGTAACATGTTTGTACCATGATCTTGGAAGAGACTCTACATGCTTAGTGATACTACTTAAGGCAGATACTACACTTGATGGTAATATGTTACAACACAACAAATAAAACATGATATAAATATTACAATGAGGTTTTAATACATTATGAAAAAAAAATAAAAAATCCTTATTTTTTTTCTTAGATATGAAAATCTTAATTTAAAGTAAATTTGTGTGATTTCAATATTTCAATTATAATTTCATTTGAAATATCTATTCAATTATTCACATGTTACAAAAAGAAAATATTAAATCTTATAAATAAATTTATACGTGTATATGTATATATATATATATATATATATATATATATCATGAGAATAAAAATAAAGAGAAAAAAAAGACACGATCCATATAAAATGTAAAAAAAGAAGGTCATGATAACTGTAAAGAAAAGATATTCTGAAGGTTTAAGAGACTACTACTAAGTTTAGATTATTTCATGTTATTGTTGTGCCATGTTGCAACATTTGATACTAATTAGAAAAAAAATAATTATAACCTTGAGAAGAAAGACAAGAAAGTAAACACAATGAATATAAGAAGATTGCTATAAGGATGAGTGGACTATCCCTTGGGTAGAAAACAAAAAACAAACATATTTATCAATCATTGTATCTTTTAAGTGATTAAATATGTTAATATCAAATTATAAGCAGCTGTTTGTAAGTTGGTGTTGCTAGAATTATGCAATTTAAGGCCATGATATTTATTCATTTTTGTCCAAGTTTAATATTTTGTCCCAATTAAGTATTATTAGCCTTATAAACTTACATATTTTACAATCATGTTTAATGTGTTTTGTTATTGTGTTTCTTCTTCTCTATTTATTAAAAAATTGGATCTTTTGTATCAATTTACAATGTTGTTATAAAAAAATAAATCATTTCTTCAGGAAAGGTTTTTTTTAAAAAAAGACAAAAAAGAAACAAATCACAAGACAATTTTTTTAAAGAAATTTTGTGCAATTTTAAATAAAAAAGTTAAGCAATCCTACTAATTTTTCTATAAGCACCATTATTTTATATTCAATTATATATGTGCACCAAAAAATAAGAATATATATATATCTCGTAAAAGTAATTTGTAATACGGGATGGAAACAATTTAGTACAATCGAATTAAATTCTAAGTTTACTTTCTTGAAGAATATAATAGTTTATTGAATAATGTTTTAAATTTTTTATCAGAATAAAATTCAATAATCAAAATATGATTGATTAATTTTTATAATAAAACCCAAAATTAACTAATAAATTTCTCCAGCCTAATTCTGTGCAATTTCTCAGTTTTTTTTGTTCTAGCTACAACCCTATTATTCAAATAAGATAGCTGATTATGCAACTCCTTCGTGCAGTGATTAGTATCTTTCCGGATTCAAACTGGCAAATTCCATCGCCAAAATCCAATTTGCACACGAATGAAACGAATAACTCCAAAGAGAAACATAACAAACAAAATAAAAATAAAAATAAAAAAATAAATGTTAAATACAAAACAATTCTTACATGTAGATTCACTAACTACACATCATGCAACAAAATCCCAGTTCATGGATTCCTCAATCTTGTCACCGAGCGCAGGAACTAAGCATTAAAAACTTCGATGATATGACAGTGAAATTAGTGCCTAGATGGTTTAATTGCCAGGCTAGAAACAACCACCCTACACGTCAAAAACAGCCAGAAATCGAAGACAGAATGCACAAAAACTGAGTCCAGTTCCTCAAACGTTTGTGTTCGTGAACTACGGTGATCCTACACCGCTTGCAGTTTCAGCTGGGTGCTGCAGAAAATACTCCCAGGAGTCACAGCCAGTGCTGCAAAGTTATGGCATCGAGGATACTAGAATGGACCCAGTTCAGCTTTGATCATATTCTTCATCTTCGTCGTCGTCTAGATCTTGGGAAGGGTTTTTGGAGTTCTTGTGGGAGTGGATCCTTTCGTAGCATTTGCCTCCAAATTTGGGCCTCATGAACGCATCATCGAACTTCCGCCAGGCGTCGTGGATGGTGGACCTTGGGGCTGTTATCAACGCGGTTGCGTTGTGAGGACGAGGAATGCCGGCGAAGAACCGTCCCACCGTGGTTCCGTCTTGGGGTCCGTCTTCGGTGTCCTGTTGTTCTTCGTCGTGGAGGAGCGGGATGTGGAAGTGGGAATTGAGCGAGGCTGTTGGGGAGATAACGGTCTTCGATGGGTGGGTTGGCCTATGCTGGGGCGGGTATAACCAGGCGATTAGAGGCGAGGTTAACGTGCCGAATACCTGCACATTGAAATTGTGAGCTCATGAGACTGGAAGTTTTTGGTGCTGAAGCCACAGGGATTTTGACTAGAAGACATGAACTAGACATTTCGGCATGCTGTGGATGGGCGTGTGGATGCTTGACTTACAATTGTGCTGGTGAGGACAACAGTGATTGTACTGGTAATCACCGTGGCGTTTTGGTATATACGTTGAGCATCACCTTCCATGGTGAACTGCCGCAGAAAAAAACAAGGGTGATTATCATTAATCAGAATATCACCCCAAAAGTAGACAACGATGAAAATGTGCTTGTCCACGATGAGTAAAAGCCAAGTGTGGTGCTGTAGAGAATGAGAAAGTCACCTGGTTGAACGCCAAAGCTATTGAGACAGCTCCTCGCATTAATCCAGCCCACCAGATAATTGACTGTAGATATCAGAAACATTGTCTCAATGAAATTAAAACTTTGGAAGTTGCATCCTTTCTACAACACCACAGATTTTAGTAATTATAAACTTGATTCTGGCTTAATGCGTGACCTAAAGTGCGAGTTTCTCTAACTTCCATGGCACGAAACAAGGAAGGGCATGTGGAAGTCCAACCATTTGACGAAGGTTGATCTTGGCCCTTGGAGAATTTGTCATGAAGTTGGAGCAAGCAGAGAGCGGGAAAACAAATGCGGCTCTCCCTAACATAATGATGAACATCAACCCACCGAGGAGACCAGCAGATTCCCTGAAACTGTCAATGACAAAACCCCTAAACGTATGAGAAAAGGAGTAGTGTATGAGCCACACAGCAAGTGGCAGGCAGAGATCGAAGCGAAATAGGAAATGGTCTGAAAAATTACCTGGATTGAGTCCGTCTCCATTTGTCTATGTCCACCGCGTCCATCCCAACATACAGAAATATGAAAACCTCTGCAATGAACGACATTGTTGCAAAAGTATGCCTGCAATCAATAGAAGCGCGTTCACTACAAGTTGACGCTCATACTCAGCATTATAAATTGGGTCCGTTGAAAATAAAATAAAAAGAATAGTGCCCCTGCTCTTGTATAATCTAAGAAGGATCTTAGTTTAGGACAGTTTGGATGATTTGTTAAAAAGAGATTTACATAACAAGCACATCTATTCAACAATCTTTATGCAATTGGACAGGGAGAATCCGCAGTAGTAGAGACAAAAAAAAATGAAAACATACTTGGTTGTAGTTCGAGAATGCTCCGTGACATTATGCCAAGTGTAGTGGGACATCATAATGCCGCAAAAGAATACCGATAGTATACCGGTCAGTTCAAAAAGCTGCACAACAAAAATTATTGCAAAATACGCATTCATGTACTGCATTTCTTACACGTTGACACATTCCTTTTCTCATCAAAAGGTAAACAAAAAATTGGACTTGAAAACTTTAAGATGGGCGACCAACATGCGTAGTAAACATTACCTCTGCAAAGGTGTAAGATAAATATGCCATCAATATCATGATCGCTATCTCACGATCCGTGGACTCCCTAGAACCCATCAAAAGCAATGATTTAACCAGAGTTTTCAAGAGGCGAATGGAGCAGCTGCTCACAAAGTATTAAATGAAACAACAAAACCAAGAACGAAAACGAGTCTTTTAAGATAAGATAATACTAAGTCTGAAGTACAATCAGTCATACCTGCCGAAATATATTTTCCTGATGATGTATGCGCTTACCAGCCCTGACTGCAGTTTACAGCCACAAAGGACCACGATGATACAAAAAATGAGCTACAAATTTTTCTTGAAGATAAGAAAATCTTAAAGATACTCAAAAAGAATTTTTTTGACTCAGTACTTTGGACATTTATCGATGCTGGTTTACACTAATTTCGGGTTCTACACATTGATTGGTGCTTTGGTACTTTTCGGGTTCTACACATTGAACTGATGGAAACAGATGCTCACCACTATTCCCAAAACAGTACTTGTGAAGAATAAATACAAGAAATTCCCCCCAATTTTCAAGCCGTCCAACGGAGTGAAATGGTCGAAATTGTAAGTCTGGAAAGCCCGAAACAGAACCACAGAGGTAGCATCGTTCACGACGCCTTCTCCGAATACTAGACTGTACAACATAGGAGTCGAATCCTGGTCGAGCACCTACACAATATGCCACGAAAATAGCATCTATGTAACAAAATAAAAGTAGTAAAATTAATCAACAAAAAATTATTCCTACTCTGGGCCAACTGGTTCACAAAGTAAAACGACTTAAATATTATTCAGCATTGTTGTCCTGGACGGATTGAGGAACTTCTGTTTTCCATCCATCAACGTAAGATACGTGATATGCCATACGATCCAGTGTAGCTCCGAAATACAACGAAGCGTGAAGTTTTTCGTAGCAACATATATTATTTTTATTGCTGAACGTGCTTGAAAAAGGGCAAAACGTCATAACATCCAACTTACCTGCAAAGTACAGACCGAGTCGGTTGCAGAAAAGATGACTCCAATGGCTGCCATTCCGGAAAAAGAAAAACTACTGAGTAATAGAGATAACAGCAATGTAGGGCATTTCTACAACCCAGTCAAAGTCTCGAAACTACAAACATGCTGTGCAGCTGAAAAGTTTAATATTCAGTACACTTCATGTCAAATCGAACATAATTAGATATGTATACTGAAAGAAACCGAAAGAAAAGTTTGATGAGGTACTGAAACCACACCAAGAATGTCTCGAACAGGCAGGTTTTTGAGTCCTAACTTGGGGAATAAGAGCCAGGTTCCTGCAATTGGCGCAGAAAATCATTGAGCAACATATCCTTTCAAGATTAGTTCTATTGCCTCCCCTACTTTAGCGTCAAAACAACAATACTGATAACTAGGAGAAAGTTTCTATAGCTCAGACAGCACTTATGAAGAGATGGTTAAAGTTTTGAGACAAAGATAGGTCAGTGCCCATACCTACTGATATAATTGCGAAAGATATAAACACCCCAACGATCCCAAATAACATGATCGCAATGAAGTTCCGGAAAAATTCCTTCTTTTTCACCGAGAACCTGAAAATCAACCAATTCCGTGTCATCGATACAAGATGAAATGTGAGCCGAGACTTGCCTATTCTGTTCCAGCTCTTTCGAAAAGGATTTAAAGCAGGAGAAAAATCAGCATACCCAGCATTAAAAATAATCGGGGGTAGAAGATATATGAAAAAAAGCTCCTCATTGAATTTCAGAACGTGAGAGCTATAGCCCTTGCTCGCAATCAAAACAATGATTCCTGTTCCGAGTCCCTGCCAAAATTGAGAAAAAAATATCAGATACTATCCTCGTTTACAATTAGCCTATCTTCAAACCCATGATTGTAACGAGAGATGTCGTTGCATTTCCAAATGCAAAGAATGATATTGTAGTCCAAACTTACTCGAAATGTCGAACTATATTGCAAGCATGCAAATTGAATGCATGTGTAAACTAGCTTTGAAGTACGACCTATGCATGCACGCGCTACAAGGTGCTCACCAAAAGAAGAGCAGTTTCACACTGGTTCGTCCACTGATTTTCTTCCAGTAGGTGTCCCACTACAATGCACGCACACAGCAAAGAAACGAAGAGACAGATCGAAACCACAGTCATGTGCTCTGCATTCCCTTCAAGCTCCGAAGCTTTGAGCGACGTCGAATGGGCCACACCCAAAACTCCGTCACCAACCGCCATTTTCCTCCACCGCACTTCGCACCTATTCCTGCCTAATTCAATAACGTGCTCCCTAACGTGTATTTTTCTTCCTAGTGCAAGTAAGAACGAAGTGTAGTCATGAAATAAGATACAAGTGGGGAAGCTCTTCAAGAAGTGAGCAGGTTTTTATAACTGGAAACAAAATACGCGCATGTCCAACACAGAAAATGCAGCTAATTCCCTTGTGAGTTTGAACACTTGGGTGCCGAAAGCATGCACAGGGTGATTACACTTATCGCCTAAGGGCAGCGCACCTTGAGAAATTCAAACGGGATTCGGGTACAGCTAGCTGTTTGAACTGCCTCCTTGCTTAGCCATGAAGGTACCCACTTTACATACAGAATGACCGCATTTGAAAAACCAAATTCTTCGCCGTTGAGAGAAGACGTGATTCCGACGTTGACATGAGTCAAGCGAACACCGCTACAACAACAAATTCAATTGTAGGCGACAATCTCGACATCAGTGCCGTGAATTTTCTGTCACTGAAACAACAGCCTTACGAAACCACTCCAACCGGACGCACTCAAGAATAGCCACCGCCGAGAACAGGACTTCGACAACACTGATGCATTGCCGAAGGCCCTCCTGAAACTGGTACCCCAGCAATCCAGAGTATCTAATCCAAATGTTGCGTGGACAGTGTTCTGGGAGCCATGCCGAAGGACCTGAAACCCATGATACCAGCACAATTACAAGCCTGCCACCACATCACAAACTTGGTGTTCGGTGCCGCTCGTCCGTCTCAAGTACCCAGCTCTGTCAGAGCAGCCGCTGTAGTTCTGAGGTGAATATTACAATCCTCCTGTTGCAGCGGTCCGCAGTGCTTACACCTCGCATTTCACGCCACGTTTATCACTATACGTAGAATCATTGCAGTGCTTCCACCACACCACCAAACAAATAGAACCACCTTACTATTTTCCACGTTTTTAGTACAGTGATGAATGTAACATATTACTACTCAACATCGTAAAAGAAAGAATCTAGAATAAGACGCAGGGTCGATCATCTATACGAATCAACTGGGAGTAGAATGTTCCAACTTGCCGGGTTCGTTGATATTTGGATGGTCGCGCATGTTGCAGATGGCGAGTTTTTGAGTCAAGACAAGTGGCGGTGTCTAGAGCTGTGGCTGACTTCATGAGTAAAAGTGAGTGTGTGTGTGTGTGTGTGCGCGCGCGCGTTTCACCGTCTCCGGTAGATCCCCTAGATCTGATCCAGGTTCCATGCACCCCCAGTGCAGCTCTTCCGCTGAAAAAGGTGAACCAAATCAGGTAAAATCCTTCGACCGACCTCCACATTCAAGGCTCCAGTGTTTTCACCAAGCTTACATTCTTAGAACGCTGACGGTGACTCTTATTTCAGGGTCTGTTGTCGAAGGGATTTCTTCAGGTTCCATGAGCAAAGGAAACAGAAGACTTGTTCGTGTTGAGGGAATAGGAAGTCGAATTTTTAAAAGATGGATGGAAGTTATGAAAATCATAAGTGAAAGAGTTGGTGGTGGAGAATTATTTCGCTTCTACTTAGGACACATGGATTGTGTACATTTCATTCACCTAACCAATTTTCCTTCTCTGACTCTTCCTGTGAATGCACGGCACACATTCGCAGGAAATTATTGGACCTCACAAGTTGATTCGGTGCCCATCACCTACCAACTCCTTGTTGCTTTTGTTTGACATTGATTTCTAAACTTTCATTTATAGGTCGGGTTCTTTGACATACAATTTTTTCAGTTGGACAGAAATCAAGATTGTTTCTATTGTCGATTGCTTTTGCATGGATAGCATTTTCAGTTGTGAAGAGCAGATGGGATTCCGTCCTTCCATGGAAGCATTCAAACCAGCTGTTTTTTGCATGAAAATCTGGTTTCGTGTGACATGTTCTGTATTGCAATCTTTCTATGTAACTGACATCTTGTGAAGCTTTGTGTGGTGAGGAGTATTGTATGTGCGACACATGATTTCGAAACGTTCTAATGGTTTAAACACTAAAGTTAAATTACATTGTTTACACATGTATAACTTACAATGATAAAGAGAAATTTCATAATAAAAGAAGTATTTAAAATCTTTTCTCTTGTGGGCATAGTTAGTACTATCTTTCACTATGAGAAATCTTTTGAGCATTATTGAATGTATCATGTTAATTGGATCAAAACATATTTATCTGATATAGGACAATAAGAATAATCAAACTAAGTGAGAAGGCAAAAATCAATACTGTAACAAGTATAATTTGTTAGTGACGGTGTGTGAAGTAAAGTGACAGCATCTCGCTCGAAGATGTACAATTCTTCATAGAACATTAAAAGATCAGCAGAATAACAGATAACTTATGGATAAATTTAGCATTTCAGAACTAAAAGTAGTTACGAAGGTGATAAGCCTATCAAATCAAACGCTGTGCTCTTTGTTTTCTGCAATCAAAAGTCTGTCACTGTCGGTAGTGGATCATTTGATTCGTTTCAATAAATTCAATATTTTTACATTAAAGAGGCCTATTTGCTTGACAGGATACGATCACAGTTTATTACAGATGCTATGACTGGTGTACAATTTCGTCCATCATAAACATAGTTGGTCAAACCATAAATCACTGGACATCAAATATTTGATTATCTTTGCTAACTACAACTGCTATCCACTCGGCAATTCCAATAAAATGTCCAAACCGCCGAGAACATGAAGATGGTGCTTCTGAGAAGCCAGCAATCCGCAGTTGTCGAACACAGCGTAAGGCTAGAGCTCACACATTGTGCAGGTTATGCTCCACGCTGTAAAACGAAACTCTCAACCAGGATGTACCTCTTTGTGCTGAACAGTAGTTCGAGGAAAATTTCAAGAAAAGTCTACATAGATTAAGTTGCGCCCAAGGTCAGTTCAGGGATGGACACTCCACGTTTGCGTCACATTAGAGGGTGCTCTAAGAGTATCCCAGCAATGGCTCATTGAAGCGACCTTGACTAAGGGGGGAAAACCAATGGTACAATATACGGGTTCTCTGGTATAGTGCTCTCATGCAAGATTTTGAGGTAAGCAAGCGAACTCAATGCCGGACACTCAGTCATCTAAGTAGTAGTAAGACCCTGCGTTCTTTTGTTCCCTATCCTTCGTCGAATCACGCTTGTTGATACGGGGCCTGTAGTTGGTTGGGTCACGCCGGAAAGTGATGTCCAAGTGCTGTTACCAAAATCCATCCACAAGATCAATGCCATAGTAAATGCAGGCGATGTTTTTTATGCTAACATCCAAACACTCAACTCCAACACGTATATCTAGTTAACCAATGAAGGAAACACTTCTGAACAACAGCTAATACACAGGAAACTAGCAGGCATCACATATATCTAGTTAACCAATGAAGGAAACACTTCTGAACAACAGCTAATACACAGGAAACTAGCAGGCATCACATATATCTAGTTAACCAATGAAGGAAACACTTCTGAACAACAGCTAATACACAGGAAACTAGCAAGCATTAAGGATTGTAATGAGTTCGAAACTTACCGAGAGGAAAAGATTCATTCCCGTCAGCAAGCTCTGAGGGGTATTTGCTATACAGTCAATAGACGGTTGTCCCTCGTACACAATTACTCTGTCAGCCAAGTACGTCGCCATTATGAAATCATGCTCCACCACAAACGATGTCTTCTTTGCATGAAGAATAAATCTCTTAATAACTTTGGCTGCTACAATACGCTGCTCTGAATCGAGATATGCACTCGGCTCATCAATCAGGTATATGTCTGCGGGCTGTGGCCATAAAAGTCACAAGAACCACTGTCAGAAATTTACAAATCGAGATTAAAGAGAGCCTCCGATGCACAACATCCATTACGGACAGTTGAGCCACTACAAAATGAATCACACAAAACAAAGACATGGATCCTAGTGGACGAAAGCTGTGCACAAAAAACTACTGAACTCTAGAGCAAACCTAACATTTGAACTAAGCACATCCATGTGCACATTAAACGATTGAAAAACGCGGTGCATGTCATGAAGCTTTCATCACCTTGCCAAGGCAGAGACACAGAGCCACACGTTGAAGCTCTCCTCCCGAGAGATGAATAACTTCCTGGTCCATCAGGGCTTCAATCTGTAAAGGCTTCATCACATCCGTGTTGAACTGTGGGTGCATGTAGGAGTCTCTGATCTTCTGGTGCAAAAGATGTCGTACTGTAGATGTAAACTTAGGACTGATTTTTTGAGGTTTGTAAGACACATTGAACTCTGGAACCTCCACATCGCTATCGCCAACATCATCTGGTTTAAGTAAACCTGCCTGCAAAATCCATCCCATCAACTCAGAAACTGATAAGGAACTGCCCCATATCGAAGAATAGGAAATTCAAAATTCGTCCTCTCGGAAACAAGTACTAGATCATGTACAAAAAAATCACTAGAGAACATAAAAAGAAGATACAAGTCTCTGTCCGGTCATAGATATACTCAATAACACATCACTCCAACAACGAATGTCAGTATCCTGTGCTTTCCTGAACCACCATCCCTAGGTCCGATCTTCGTCAAAAAGTTCAAGTACCCAAGTTGGAACAAGATGTCAAAAACTGGCAAACAGAAGGATAACTTTGAAAATCTGAAATTTAACCTCAGGCCCGGAGAAAGATTAACCGAACTAAAAGAAGGATTCCACTTACCAGCATTCGGATGAATGTTGTCTTGCCAGTTCCATTCTCTCCAAGCATGACAATAATTTGAGAATCAGTAAACTCTCCTTCCTTGACCTGCAGCTTAAAACCACCTTGCGTCTTTGTCATTTGAGGGTATTTGTATCGTGCATACGTCCGAATCTCCTCGGCACTCTCCTGAGGAGTCTCAGCAACCTGAAGTCCACAGCCACAAGAGTAAAAATCTTGAAAACCAAAAAAACATTGTGCAACTTCCATGGTATGACATGGACCTCCTGTAAATCTGAGGTATTAAAATAAAACATGTAGTTTCACCTAACTTAATATCCAGCAATCATCTAAATTTCCCCATATTTACTTGTAGAGTATTTAAATACTAAGATGTTACGCTAAAGCTTCAACCCGCAAGTGAACACGTTCTTGGTAGCCGTGCATAAATGAAGAACCAGAGTAGAATTGCGAACCTTGAAGGTAAGGGACTCATCCCTAAATCTCAAATTTTCAGTAGGAACAAAACCAGCCAAAAAGATGTTGATGCCCTCTCTAACAGAGAAAGGCAAAGTCACTACCCCATACGCTCCAGGCTTCCCGTAAAGGCAGCAGATAAAATCAGACAGATAATCCAACACGCTCAAGTCGTGCTCCACTACGATGACGTAACTACACAAGCAGCAAAAATAGATGTACAATTCTCAATAGAAATGATGTAACAAGGATGAAAGAAGAAGTATATCATTGTAAAAAATACTATTAACCAGCGCCACACTGCATTCTATGATGCACAAAAATGGTTCAAAAGTAGCCAATTATGAGATAGGTTTATCACCTGTTGGGACGAAGAAGAGATCGAACAACTTGGGCAGCTTTCAACCTTTGTTTTACGTCGAGATAACTTGAAGGCTCATCAAACATATATATTTCGGCATGCTGCGTCGCCACAACAGCAATAGCAAAGCGCTGCAACTCTCCTCCAGAAAGGTCACCAACATCACGGTCAAGAACCTGGTTCAGGTCGAGGTCCTTCGCCAGTTCAAATCTCATCTCTCTCTCATCTTTCTGAGCAAGAACTTCACCCACATTACCCTTGACAGCCTTGGGGATGTGGTCGACATATTGCGGCTTGATAATTGCCTGTTTAGAGTGAAGCCAAAACACAGTAAGACAAAGAAGAAAATGATGTCAAGGTGAATTAATTAATTAATTTAAGTCAGTGAACAGCGTCTTACCTTCAAGTTGTCCTCCAAAATTCGAGTAAAATAATTTTGGAGTTCTGAACCCCGAAAATACGTCAAAATTTCTTGCCAATCAGGTGGACTCTGCACAATATATGCACCAATAACAATTCGAAACATATCCGGAAGGAAAGAGAGGTTGCGATGAAACGTTAAGTCCGTAGTAGACGGTCACTGACCCTCAATTATGGGGATCTGCAATTTTCCAACCCATAGTATGCAACAGCCTACCCGTCAATGCATTGAAAAGATAGAAGATTAGTGTGATGCAACTTACAAGGAACCTTCCAAGGTTTGGCTTAAGTTTTCCAGCCAACACCTTTAGGGCAGTTGACTTCCCAATACCATTCGTTCCAACAAGTCCCAGAACTTGTCCAGGTCTTGGAACAGGCAACCTGCATCATTGAAAATTTCACGATGGATTATTCATACAAGATGTTCACCAATCTTCAAAAGCTCTGCAAGAGTCATTCTTTATCATCAGCATGTTACTTTTTAGTAGATGAGTTTACATGTGTGCAAGAACCTCTACAAAATACAATTGCAACCACTTATTTTCTTTGATAGACAATCTAATAGACAATAATAATCAGCTCATTCCTTTCTCTCGATCCAATTCATCAACTCTAAAGGACTAAAATTCCAAAGAACGAAGAAAAGTTTACTTTGCCGCCTAATGCTGCAAATCAGGAGATTAACACACCTGTGCAGCTTGAAGGTATTGGGACCATAACGATGAGTGGTATCCTTGTCAAGGTCCTTCGGCAGATTGATGATTTGGATGGCTTCAAAAGGACATTTCTGAGGACAAAAAGGGACAACAATAAAAACAAGACCGTAAGTAATCCAGCAATCTCCTCCTCCATAGTTAAATAGAGTGACAACAAAACTGCCACCGGGAAAAGAAAACACTTCAGATCCCATGAGGGAAAAGTATTCGTACTATTCAAGGTAACACCCAGCACCACGCCATCCAATAAGAATCACCCTGAGCTTGGCCCTACTTAAGTCAGCATTAGGCTAATGTTCATCAATTGATATGAAGCACAAGTAATAATCCTTGATTTAAAACTGCCGTTGAGATGGATTCAAGACAGAGGAGTTCGAATATACATCGTGCTCAACCCAGGCCCATAACCCTAATGAGGATATATCTTTCCCCAATTCAATCCACGACGCTTCATGTGAGGAACTTCTATACCTGCTCCGAAATTTTTCTATAAACAACGTATCAAAAGCAAATCCGTGCGTTTTTAAACAAAAATTCCCAGACACGTTAAACAACAAGGCAACCACGACCATCAAACGCACCTTTACACAGATACCACAACCGATACAGAGCTCCTCAGAAATGAACGCAAGTTTGGCTTGCGAGGTAACCTCAATGCAAAGTTTACCTGCAAACATTGGCCAACGAATCAAGCTGTGTCCATTCAAACTTCACGACGCACTCCAAAAACCTCGTATAACATTAACTCTTCAATCCGCCGCATCCGCAGCACATCGCTTGAATTCCCAAATGAATAACAAGATACATAATCCAACCAGACATACCTGTCTTCACCACAGGACAACTCTTCTTACACTCCTGCCGACATTTCTTTGGCTTGCATCTATCCGAGCTCACAATAGCAATCCTAGTCAATCGATCCGACATCTTGATCTCAGATCCTGGTCCCTCTCCCAACCCTCCGACTGCACTTCGTAAACCGTCTTCCCCCAAAGCAAAATTGAACACACAGAAAATTAGCACCCTGTTTCGAAGCCAACCCTTCCGGCAGCCCAAGCAGCCACAGGAGAAGGCTTGCACTGAAGACCTTTTTGAGAGCCACAAACCCTAATAATACTCCCAAACCAGCCCAAACTGGACCAGACCAAACTTTTTCTCTATTCTCGCACCTCTGGGCTTTGCTTTGGCTGCACCCAAACCCACTCTGTCCGCCACGTAGCCCTAAGTGGGCGTGCTGACCACAGGCCTCATTTTGTCTGATCTCGACTATTTGTCTAACTTGTTTGTTGTCCAAGTTCGTGGATACTGTTAAATCGTAGGTTTATTGTCTGGAAACGTATCTGGCAAGGGAGTGGGGTCACAAATCTGTTTTGGTAAAGGTCTATGCACATTCGCGGCTGAACACAACTAAGTGCAACATTTTAGAGAGTAGAGAGTAGATTTTGACTTTGTGTTGTCTGAAAAAATTGAAGTGCATTGAAATTGCTAAGAGTTATTTTAATGAAGATGCCAATCCCGAAAGACCAACCTATGTCAGGGTGCATGACATTGAAGCGAATGCTTCGCAGCCTCCTCACTTCGACATCTTGGATGTTGCTCATTGCGAATTCATTTGCAACGCTAAATCCTTAAACTTGCGCATGTGCTTCAAGATTATTAACAATGCTCATTTTTTCTTCCCCTTTTAGTGTGCCATTACTTTTCTTCTCTTCGACGTAGTTCTAAGGTGATAATTTTCTTACGAGTTTCACTTTCTTCAGACAATTGCTAAAAGGCCACTGAGCACAACTCCAGCAACTAGCACAATGCTAGAGATTAGTGCAGTGGTCGATTTTGCAACCTTTGCCCCATTGGATGACTCTGATTTTTGGTCGTGGAAGGTTCTTCTGTTCCTTCGATCGCTTCCTAAAAGGAGACATCTGTATTCAGGTACATGGCGTTCATGTTAACAACATTTCCGTATAATTCGAGGGCAATGTTCTGCATGCAGATTCATAGAAAGTCCAATACAACAGCTTCAAATCTTAAACTCTGTGGGACCAGGAAGACTTCACTGTTCATTATTGGGGTTAGTAAAGACCGAAAAGATCCCTAGGTAATTTTTTCAATATCATTCAGAATTTTGGCATCGTAAGGGTGTTGAGTTCATCATAGACGTGATAGTTGCGATCCCCATTATATAAGTATCGCGAAATAGTCAAAGGAAGAGGTGTCCAACTGCTGAAAGCTTTTTTAAGACCCAATGATTTAAGTCGGCCTCATATACAGTATCTTCTGAAAACAAATACTGCCGCAAAAGGCACCTTCGGTTCACATCCTCATTACTGATTCTCAATTTTGATTTACATAGACGTCAATTTCCTAAAGACTAATTCATCATAATAGAAGAGGTATCTGGCATCCGAACAGTTTGAGGAGGAGGATGGTGAGAATGTGGCTATTGGCTCCTCACATCGCTTCCCTGTTATCATGATGCGCCTGCCTGAAACAGGAGTCTCAAGACAAGACAGACGTCCACTCATTCCAGTTTACCTTTCAATGAGGCTATTGAATCAGAAACAAACATGGCTCAGAACCCATGAGTTTCACAGGTTGCGATAATTTAAGCAGGATTTACAAAACTAAGTAGCGAGAAGAAAATACTTAAAAATACAGAGTAGATCCAAGCAGTACGTATCAATTCAAAACGAGTAAGCCCAATACAAGAGGCGAAAGAATGGGGTTTCAGCAGCGGTAAAATTACAGGGGTTGAAGGCTCTGCAGAAACAACTTCTCATTGTAAAAGCAAAGCCAAAAATAAGATCAGGAAAGATTTAAACCATAAGAATGATCAAACTCTACTTCATAGTAACATATTGAGTTCATCTCTTGAAGTAGTCCGTCGACTTTGCAGCATACTCCGATCGGGGGTACTTTTGGCACTGGCTATACCAGAAAAAGCCAACATGTGTAAACCCTCGGTTGATCCTGAAAGAGGTTCATCCGCAAATGCCGTATTACACCCTGGTTGCGGGCTTTGAGGCGTCTTAGAGTCACCTGCAAATACCATCATCCCTGATTATAAAGGTGCTCTTCAAAATGTTCAACGTTCAGGCTTGAGCGATATAGAACCTTGTTATACCTGCCAGCGATTACTAAATTAAAGCTGCCGAACCAAACCTCTTGTGTTAGAGTTTACAGCATTTATTTGAAGTTCAGAGATCTGGCCGCACTGTTCAAAGCCGACTGTGTTGAAAAGATTGGACATATAATCTACCTCAGAGACCAAGAGTCCTTGATTACACTATGGCTTGTGCCCAATTGCTCGTCTTCATTGATGCACTCACTTTTCAGAACACAATTACCGAGGATAGAAAGGTAATTTGAATTATTCAGTTATCAATCCTCTTAAATCAGTGAGAATCATCACAATTTCGAACTTTGATAATCGAATGAATTTAAGGATACCTTCACCGTTGAGACAGGCTAGAAAAATGCTTAGATCAGACATGAAAACGTACCACGAGCAAGATTGCGCAGATGTGGAGGTAACCAGTTTGCAGGAGAACCCGAACCCGAACCCGAACTCGAAATAGACACTGGAAGATATCCTCCACGACGTCTGATCCGCAATCTCCACTGATACCAAGTAACTCCCACCAGAATAGACACTAACAGCATCAAAAATGCCAGCGTCATAAACAAGTTCGTATCAAATCCAGCAACACCTCCAGAGGCTTCACCGTCCTCCATAGGATTCAGGGCACCAGCTTCCCACAGCGCAGCACCTAAAGTCCAGGAAAAATCCCCTGATCCTATCTGGATCTGATTGTCCTGCAAGTGCAAGCCATCTCGAAGCAGAGCCGACACATACGGTGACCGAAAACAGTACTGCTCAATACTAGGTTGTGGATCTACGCTACGTTCAGCCTCCTTCCAAGGCAACTTACAAAAATCTTGGCCTTTCGCCAATAGATCATCAAGTGGCGCGCTTTGAGACAACCCGAAAAACTTGTACACAACATAAAACCCTGCCAGTCCATAGAAGGTCCCTTGGGGATATGGCTGGTGCTTGCCCAGTGCACAAGGCGGAAGAGTGCAACCCTGGGCAGATGAAGAATTGATGATATCCTCAGCCAAGGCTTGACAGGCATCCCAATTAGGGGCTCCCACCAATTCAATTTGAGCAACGGTGGCTTCACCTGTACTCGGGGCTTTCCGTCCAGATCCACGCGATGGAAGAGGGGGGAGAACGCAATGGGTAGAGCACTTAAAATGTGCCCTGTACCCTGTTTGCAAACATGGATGCTCGACATCCACGACGTTACTGTTACGCCCCTTCCGAGACATCTTCGTGACATTCCGCGACCTCAGTAACACCGCCACCGATTTCTCGAACGCATCATTCAAACCAAATCCAGCATGTGAGGCTGCGTAGAGATGGTGATCCGTGGAGCCTACGCTCAGATTCATACCGTGGTCACCCTGAGGAACATCTCTCGGCTCGAAGGTTACTTCTAACGATGAACCCCCCAGATCCAAAGTACCATAATTTGACTTCCTAGGCACATTCCCCAATCTTCCAAACTTGTAATTCAGCGCTATCCAGCCGTAGTATGCTTCTTCGATGCCCTTGATAACTTTTACAGATGACCTCTTGCATCTGAAAGGCGATTTCGCAAGAACAGTCCAAGCTTGCTCGAGGATCCAGTCAGATTGCTCTTTGGGCAACTTGCGCAGTCCGGCTGTGGCTAAAAGGAAAATCTGGGTATTCGGGTACGCGTGTCGAGGGATATGCCTGCCTGCCCAATCCAAAAGCGGCCCAAGAGCACTCTCGATGCCAGTCCTATTGTGATACAACTTGTCTAGCCCAGGCTCTGTCTCCACTCGTTTGTACAAGCGCTGCTGCCCATTCACGACTTGCATTGGGGCGCCGGGCATGTGCGTGTTCGTTGTAGGATCCACCATGACCGGTAGTGGATCTTTCGGAGAGCGCGCCCATCCATGAACATGAACTCGAGTGCCCGTGCTCCCACCATCCAAAACGATTGCGAATTGCAGCGTCTCTCTGTGCAAGTAAGCTCTCCCCAGAAGGAACCCAAAATACACCAATGTGACTCCCAACAGAATCAAAACAGAAATTGGCAAAAATCGGCACCACCAACGCCGGCTGGAGGGCTGGCTCACAGGATAAGGCGTCCCATCGCTCCCCAAAGGCCCACTCCTACTGGGCTTAGTAACCCTAGGCACGACGGATCCATCCTTACTAGGACCCTGAGAGGCAGGTGGAGCCTGGTACACATACGATCCAGCTCTATTGTCCTCCACGGGCACCCTCAAGTACGTCGAGAAACTCGGCACAGAAGCGGAACTTCTTAAACCAACGCTTTCACGCCTGTACCGCCCTCCTCTTGCAGGAGTTGGAGCGACAGGAGCGAACGATGGCGGCAGCGGGGGGTAATGCCCTGGGGCAGACGGAGACGGCTGCACAGCTCTGTCATTGTCGTCAATTCCTCCGTCCATAGCCCCTCCTGCGAATTCCAATCCGCGTGTCCTACACACGCTACTACTCCACCCCAGACTAAGCCCATAGCCCGCCCACCTTTATTCGCTGCTCGACATATCCCTTGCTCCTCTACCTTCTCAAACCCCAACCTCGCGAATCCTCCACTTCACCTACAATTCCCACTCACCAGTTCCCTCACCTAGCCACGACCAACATCACCACTATCCTTGAATAGGCATCACCGCCACCAAGAGCTCTCCTCCAGCGTCTGGCCTCGCATCGGTGCTTCCCTTCACGGCCAGCGGTTGAAGAGCCAGACTGCAAGCGAGGAATCAAGGCGCTTGACTAAGCAGAGAAGGGAGAGACCAGTTGCAGCAGCATCGTCCTAGGAACAGATCTACGATGGTGGGTGCAAAAACTACACTAGTGTTTACGAAGCCCTAAAACCTGCTACTGCGCGGAGACGAAGAGGTTCCCCCACATCGATCGCGGCGTGCGCACGTTCGCGGGCGCTAGTACGCTGGCTACACTCGATGATTGCTTTTCTCAGGAGGCGGTCCGAGCATCGACTGAGAACATGTTGCATGACGACGCACTTCCATTTCGCATGTGACAGCCAGCTGCAATTCGCTGCTGTTGCTGCACTCTGCACGAATTGTCGCAGGCCGCGGGATGCCTGATCTGGTGCGGTCGGCGACACGAGTCACTGGACTAGATCCACGCGATCTCGTTTCTTAACTGCTGTTTGCTACTTTGAACCGTCACTTCGCTCAGGCATACGGGTTCTAGGGCGCCGGACCTCCGGCTATCGACGCTTGCTTCCTTCCCAGGTCGCATCTAGTTCGTATGTGGACTATTAGCAACTTAACACTGTAGCCTCCGAGCACCGAACCAGATGCTGTTGCGGCGAAGCTTGGTCCTGATCGATTCGACGAGACTACTGTGACATCTGTCGAGGGGATCGAACACCAGCATCAGTCGCTGCCGTTTGATGACGATTCCTTTGCGGTTCGCATGCAGATCAGCGATGCACTTTCTATGGATAAAATCGTATAATTATATGAATAGAACGGTAGAGGACTTGTTTCTGGTTATTTCTGGGAGTTGTAATAACAATATCAGGAATTACTTTGACTAAATTCTTCACAGTTCCAACTTCGTGACGTTGCACTGTTGAGCACACACACACACACAGAAATACACTTTATATATACATATAGATATAGATATAGGTATGCATGCATACTTATCTTTTTAATCCTCGCAGTACATAAAGGTAAGAGTGCTGTACACAAATCTGCAACCAGACAGAATTGCAACTGTATTTAGAATCACAGTTATTATTATTTCTGAGGTGTGTGTTTGTTCCCACCAAGTCTGTTCGTGATAAGGTAATATGCTTTAAATTGATCCTTGTTATCATTCTTGAATAAATTTTGCTTAAAAACCCAATATACATGTACATATGTGTGTGTATCCACGTTTGTATAAACCTAATAAATTTTCTGATAATTTCACTACCCATAGAAAATAAAAATTAATTACCTTTCTTACCCTTTTTTCTTTTTTTTCTTTTTTTAAACGTCATTATAAAGCACAACCCAACCCAAATAGACATTTTAAGTTGTATTTTCGTTATGAAAATATTAAATTGGCTATTTTCTATTGTATGATCTGTTTTATTAAAAAACAACTCATTGTAGAACTATTTACGTCAAATCTGCATTTTAAAACATGACAACAAATATTTTTGAGGAAATATATGCATCTTTGTGATTGATTATAATTTCTTAACATAAATGGTTAGGCATCTATGTGACATTTGACTCAATCTTTTATTTTATCACAAATTCTAAATTTATCTATTTTTGAAAATTTTGTAACTTTTACACTTATTTCTAATAAAAGTAACCCCTTTTATGTTACTTTGATTATAATATAAATACTTAATTTGGCTTTAATTGAATGTTGTTAATAAGTGGAAAGTTCATCCCTAAGTTTCATATTAGATGATTTATATCTTAAGTTGAACCTTTTCGTGTTACAAAACATAAAGTTGAATACCAATTCAAATTATTTTCAAAAAATTTGATATATTTTGTTAACACGATTTTCAAAAAAAAACTGAAGTAATAGCTTCTGTCAAGTAGTATCTATAATTTTCTTCACAGAACCATTCATGCTTGTTTTGTGCTAGATGTATAAAATCAGACTATTGTTATTTTTTCAATATAACATGTAATGTTATGTTGCCAGCTCTAAACAATAATGTTTTTACTTTACTAATTTCGTGGCTATCAACATCAAAAGGATTGAAATCTATTCTCCACATAATTTAGTGGAACTTGAAAACTTTAACACTACACCTTGTTAATGCACATACAAAATACAGTCACATGCAAATTATCATAAGCACAAAATGTAGGACCCAGTGAAAGCTTTGTAAAATATTTGAAACATTATCAGTAGTAGCTTTTATATCTAATAATATCACCACAAATTTGAAGTCTCTTCCAAAGTTATGATATCAAATACATTGTCTAATAAAAGTGGCTTTAAATGTATAAAAGTTACTACTAAAAAAAAATCAACTTCAAAAGCCACTATCAAAATAAAATAAAGTTATAAAAATTCTAATAGTAGTCCTTTTAAACAACCTCCTTCCAAAGTAGTAATTTAATCACATTCTACAATTAACTAAAATCCACCAACATGGCTCTCATTATATTGCTTAATAAATTATATATTAAATATATAAACACATGATTTTCACATGGTAGCCAAACCACAATATGTCAACATTTTATTTTTCTATCTACTTAAAGAAGAATATGTTGTTATTTAACAATCTAATCTCTATTGTATCATCTTGAATATTGTAATAGTTGTAATGTCTTGTTTGACAATTAAGCAAATAATAATTCTTGAATTGAATCTATTGGTTGTTGGTTCTCCCTTTTTTTAGGACCACAAATATATAGAAATTATAAATAAGCATAGAAGGTAGAATGATTTTTTTTTTTTGAATCTTACTTCTTTTATAGTCAAGATTTTTTATTCCTTATATTAATTTTGATGGATGTCATCAATAAAAAGCATCAACCTTTTTTGTTGCATTTTTAAAATTCTTAATTGGCTCCTATGTGTATTCACTAATATCATATCTATGCCAATGAATAAGATATTTTAATTTATTTTGACATCACCTTGAGTCTAAGACTTCTTTGACTTCATATTCTTCATTATTATTTACTTCTATAAGAAGAAATAACATTTTTATCTTTTTGATATATCTATTGTCTTATATGGCTCAAAAGAGATATATAGAATATAGAATGGATCTTCATAGACTTCGATAAGTATAATCAAAAAGCAATTGAATTGATTTGTTTATAAATATGAAATGATCCAAGTCTACAATAATCTAACTTATTACAAGGATAAATAGTCTTGATAGTACAATAAAATAGAATGTTGTAATATTAACAAAGTATTACAATATAATTTATTTATCACTAAATCAGCCTATTACCATATCACTCAATGGTCTATTATTTAAAATTTTACTCCTATTGAACTAAATATAAATATTAATTATTTTTAAAAAAATTAAGAGAATAGAAATACTAAGCTATGAATTAGATGTTCAATCCTTAACTTGAGGCTTATCTTTAAGAATGAAGTAGATTGTACTAAAAGTTGCCAAAGGAAGTAATTTTGATGATAGAACCAACTCACCAACTGATCCATCAAAGACTACCTACCATGCCTTGAAGTTGACTATTGCCCCCTTCTATTATACCACAATACAAACTACAAACAATCACTTCTTTGATTGTACTATTTGATTGCTAAAGAACCTTTGTTCCTTCAATAAGATCTTCTTGATCGATCAACAATCAAAGAATTGTGGAACTTTCAATTCATTAAGGTTAGCTAAAAAGAAGACCTATATATTCAAATTGTGCCAATTGCATCATTATAAGAGGTTGTTGTAGCACTTACCAAAGAAGATGAAGATGTACTAATTGATATGGAAGTTTTTTTTTTTTTTTTTTTTTTTTTTTTTTTTAATTCAATAAAGAAGGAAAACAAGCATAGATTGTGTCCTTACTTCATTGCAGCTTCCATGTTGGAATAGAAGCCTTGCACTTGACATTCCTGAGTGTTTCTTTTGCAGATTCTTTTTAATATTGTGTTTTAATTTTTTAGTAATTTGAGATTAGTGGATGTAGTAGTGTCATTTTTTTTCCCATTATTAGTTCAATATTGTTTGTAGTTTTGGGGGTTTTTTTTTTTTTTTTTTTTTTTTTTTATTGTAGACATGTGGTTGCCTTGAAAGTGGTCCTAGTGAAGTAATGGAATGTTATATTTGATGTTTTTCAATAGTAAGAATCATAAATTATCTAGGTGATTGTTGTCTTATGGAATACAAAAGGTTGGATATATCTTATCATAAATCAAGAAATATGAGGCCAATTGACTATATTATTTTCTTGCCTACTATTCACATTAGTAGTTCTAAGCTATGCATCACCCATGTCAATCAATAAGTCCCACAAGAATCAAACTAAGACTAGCTTAAGTGACATAAATTTATTAATTAATTAAATTTGTGACTTGATATCTAATACTATGTACATGAGGCTTTTACTTCCTTTGTCTTAAATTTTTATTTTTATTTATTTATTTATTTTTATCTTTCAAATTTTTTTTGAATTTATTGATTTATTTTTAAATAATTTAAATTAAGAAGTTTTATTAAAAAAAAAGAAAGAAAAATAAAAAAATAGTTATAGATATAATCAAAATAGATTAGTATGACCTTGATATAGAGTAGTATGGTGTTGAAGTAAAGAAATATAGGCTGTGGTAGGCTATATTTGTAATATAGGCTAGTATTGATTTTTGAACCGTTCTTTGCTTTTCATTTATTCAGACTCTTTCTCCTTAGGAATAGCTAATTAGTCTTTAAATTTTTTTTCACACTATGTTTAGAATCTGGATTTGAGATTTTAAAGAGTAATTTTATTTTTTTATTTTATTTTTATTTTTTTATAAATATTCCAAAAAGCTCTCACTTGCTTTGAAAAGAGTAACTATGAAGCTGTGGTGCCTATTTTTTAATAACGAAGGATGAACTATCTTATATTAACATAATCTATGGCTTTATTTCTTCATATAGTATAGAAAATTATAAAAAGTGAGATTTGGTGTGTATATGTAGAGATTGAATAATTCTCTAAAGAATCATCACATGCTCAAATTTAATGAAGTATAGAGCTATGATGTCTATTTGAATAAAAAAAGAATGTTATTTGCTACATAATACCAAGAGCTACCATATATATATGAGGTGATAGAGTTTATTTGAATAAAAGATAATATTTGACTATATTTAGTGTAGCTAAAAATCCTATATTTTTTTGAAGTAATTTTTTTTTATTTCAATACTGCTCTATGCAAGAAGAAAAAACTACCACAATATATGGAACCCATAGTTTGAAATACCAACATAGGAAGAAGAAAAAAAAAACTTGGAGTTTAAGCCAGACTCCTATCATAATAGATCTTATAATTATGGCGACAATGTATCTAGTGTTAAGATCTTTGCTATTTGGCAATTACTTCTCAAGGATCTAATAATGAGACCCATCAACTCAATATTCAAGCATCAAGTATATGTTATCTTATTTGGAAATGCACTAGGCACGTGGCTATAGATGGTGAAGTTTTATTTTACAAATATACAAGAAATCTTAATCCACTTCATCCATATAAAGAAAATTTAATTCAAATCTTAATCCAAAAAAGCTTAAAGCTAGTACAAAGTATTCAAAAATATTCTTCTTAGTAACTTCAATTGCCTTATTACATTAATTTCAATTGCCTTATTACTTTTATAAGTAGGCAATTTTGATTTTTCTTTGCAAGCCCTAATCCTAGTTAGTGAGCTTTGGCAAGTGGTAACTCCTAATTTGACTTTCTATTTGGTACAAAATTTTGTATAAAAATGCTACTATAAGTCTTTTATATGCTTAAGAAAATTCAACCCAATCCAACTTACAAATTATGAGAAAAAGCCCAAATTTTTTTGTTATGTTGTAAAATAACTATATGATGAAAATACAATAAAAAATAAATTTATAATTAATATCCAATTATTTTGGTTCAATAATAATTCAAGATATTGAAACATAGCTTTTATAAAAGTCTCTTATTTTATTTTTTTGTCTTAATAGTTAATAGGTTAAAGGTTGGTTAGTAATTTTACCTTTTAAGATGTAGAGACTCTTTTATTGTGTTAGAAAGACCATAAACTAGTAAAATCAAATTAGAAGAGGTGAATAATTAATAGAGTTGATACTAAAATTAAATTGAAGGTAGGATTGGACTAAAAAATCTTTAGGATAACTTAGATTGATATCCGTGGGTCGATTGTTTGTGAGATAAGGTCAAAATTAGACCTCATACTATTAATATGATGTCTTAGGATAAAATACAAAGGCATTTAAAGATCGGCTATTAGGATTTTAGAGCTAGATTAGAGCTTATTCCAAAAATATAAGGTTTATTTTTGTAAGTTTTGTTTCAACCTTGCAATTATTGTTCAAAGTCAAGGTTTGTATTGGCAACTTGGGATTTATACAATACAATTAGGGCTAGTATCCTTGGCTAGTTTGTAAAGTTGGTGTCACATTTATAGTTCAAAATTTGACAATATTTGATTAATTAAATGTGTTAGGTGTATGTGAAATTTTATAATAATCTAACCTTGTAATTGAGAGATATTTGGATTTTGATACAAGAAGATATCAAAAAATGATAGTTTGGAGTTGGATAGGATTTCTATGATATCTAAAGATCTATTAATTGAATCAAGGTGAAATTTGGCATAATATTAGAAGACTTAAAGATCAAGCTACATACCAATTTTGAGTTGAAGTTAATAGTTGGAGAATGAAAAATCATTGCTGGAACATTTGTATCAACTTTCAAGTAGGTAGCCAAATAACATCCATGTGGTTTTTGGGTGTTTTCTCACAATTTGTAAGTTGGATTGGGATGAATTCTTTTTGAGCATATAGAAGACTTATTGAGGCATTTGTATACAAAATTTTGTTTTAAGTAGATAATTAGATTAGGAGCTACAACTTACAAAAGCTTATTGATTAAGATTAAGGTTTGGAAAGAAAATTAAGAATTACCTAATTATGAAAGTAACAAGGTAATTGGAATTTATGTATGGTTGAAATTATTAAGAAGAGTATTTTTGAATACTTTGTATTAAATTTAAGTACTTTTGAATTAATATTCAAATTACATTCTTCTTATAAGGGTGAAACATATTATAATTCTTAGATATTTGTAAAACACAATTCCACCTTCCATAGCCACATACTTGATGTATTCCCAAATAAGATGATATGTAATATGACATCGCACTAATGTTACTTGGCCACCAAATTGAAAGTTGATGTAGATGTTCTAATAGTGATTTCTCTTTCTCCAATTATTAACTTCAACTCAAAATCAATGTATAGCTTGATCTTAAAGTCTTCTAATACCATGCCAAATTTCACCTTGATTCAACGAATAGATCTTTAGATATCATAGAAATCCTACCTGATCTCAAACTACCAACTTCTAATATCCTCTTATACCAAAACCTAGATATCTCTCAATTGCACTATTATATTAATACAAAATATTATATATATTTAGGACATCCAATCAACCAAGCATTGTCAAATTTTGAACCATAGATGAGACACCAATTGCACAAATGAGCCAAGAGTATTAGCCCTAATTGTATTGCATAAATCCTAAGTTAGTGATACCAACTTTGACTTTGAATAATAATTCCAAAGTCATTCCAAACCCTACAAAAAAAAAACTTAGAACTTTCAAAAGAGTTTAAAGCTAGCTCACAAATTCTAATTTTTGATCTTCAAATAAATTCTTATTTTATCCTAGGCAATCATTTTAATGATTAGATGTCTCATTTTGACCCTATTTCACAAATGGTCGACCCTTGAGTATCAATCCAACTTATCTTAGGCATCTTTTAAATTAATCCTACCTTTAACTTAATCTTAGTATCAATCATATTAAATGTTTACCTCTTTTATCCTATTTTTACCAATTTATGACCTTTTTAAGGCATTAAAAGAAATTCTATAGTCTAGAAGGTAAAATTATTAACCAACTTATGATCTACTAGCTATTAAGACAAGAAAATAAACTAAGAAGTTTTTATAAAAGTTATATTTAAATGTCTTAAATTACTATTGAATCAAGATGACTAAATATTAATTAAATTTTTATTTTTGATATATTTTTACTATATAATTGTATTACAATACAATACTACTCCTATGACTATCATATAGTCTACTATTGAATTACTTGCTAGGAACCTCTTTGATATCACTTTCTACCATTTATCTACCATTTGAATTACTTGAAAAAATCAAGTGGTATTTTAAGATACCAAATAGAAAAATATTAATTATCAGAGTAATATGTTCCATACATGGAGATTTTTTGCTCACCATTGGCTTTCATATTTAAGTGCAAATATTGTTGGAGTAAACATCAAGGTTTTCAAGCATGAAGAGATTGAACAAAATTTGTTTGGAATCAAAAAAACTTTTGCGATCTTCTCTTCACTAGAATGTAAGTGTTGAAGGTGAAGTTGATGTCAATTCATTGCTTCAAATCTATGTCTTCAATATGTGTAATAAAATAGATATTCTAAACACCATTAGCTCTTAGAGCAATCATAGCACTTAGAGCTCTCTATCAAACACATGTCCTATTATTTGTGCACTTTCAACTTGTATTTGTAGTAAGTCTAGTACCTTGAATATTTTGTGATTCGTGTAACAGTGAAAAAAAAAGCTTTTGCAGGGAACTCTTTTATCCAATATAAAAACAAAAGAGATACTATTGTTTAGTTATGGCCAAATATAATCATTTGAAACTTAGTGATGCTATTGATGTGGTAGTGTAATAGAGTTTTGAACATTTCTTATTACTTTGATTAATATGAAATGAGATTTTTAGTATGTATATTAACTTGAGAGTAGAACAATGAAACAACATGTATTAATTCATGTTGTCTAGAAGTAATTTCAAAGCTCTCAGAATCCTTTGCAAAAAAATAAAGATGAACACAAATAAGCAAGATGTACTTTTACATCTCTTATATAAAACTCATGGATGGAATTAGTGATCAAAGGATGTCTATATCTTGTAGGCCTCTACTATATCTTCCATACCAACCCAGCTTCAATTATTACCAAATTAACCAAATTAAAACCTTATTTATTGCATACTATGTATTAATAAGTTTGCAAGTGGAATGATATTACCAAAAGCACACAAAAGCTCAAATGTTGCACTCTAGTCATTGTAGGCAAAAACTCTTTGTTTTATCCGAGAGCAAAGATTATTATTATGTAGTCATTTGATATAATCATTGTTAACAAATCCTAGAGACTCTAATTTTGGTTCTCTTTTTTTTGATGAAAACACTAAGGGCATGTGGCCAATCAACAAGCTGTTTTATCTCCTTGGTTTGTCCCATGTATTTATCAATTTTGTATAAGAGATATATACTTCCAATAGATTATACAAACTCTTGTTTGTTTGGAGGACATCAATACTACTTTCATCCACAAATTGATGGGCTTGTCTTTGTTTCCTTGAAACATTTTTGTTTGGTTTTTTTTGATGCCCACAATTGACAAAATGAAAATTGGCTTCCTACAGCTCTCCAAAAGTTCCCTCCACGTGACGTCGGCAACGTCGGAGTACACAGTGGCACCGTCTTGCGGCGGAGGTCGAGGGTTTCCGACAGTTCGCGCGGGAAGCTCCCGCCACTTCGAGAGTGCCAGATTCGGCAGTGAGGATTCAGTGCCATCGCCGGAATACGCCCTCGAGGACCGCGGCGATTCCTGCTCACGTTGCTGGGGTTGGGACGGAGCCTTCCATCGTCCGCGATCGTGTCTCTGTGAATTGCACTGGGTTCTAGGGTTCGCTTCTGGTAAGCTTTCTTCAGCTTGTTCACCGTTTGCAGTACGTAATTGTGTTCAAGTAAAGCTTTTTAGCATTTGTATGTGACGATAGATGAAGATTTTGTGACTATTAGACGACTCCATGAACTCAATTGTGTGGGGAACAGAGTAATCTGGCGCAGTCGATTGTAGTGTAGTTTTTCGTTGGTCATGGGTTATGAGGACCACCTTTGCACGAGATCAGTCCGCTGGGGTTGGTTTTTGTGTAGTTTTTAGATTTCTTGGAGCCATGGTAGTCATGAGAATGGTAGTGGAGGTATTAGAAGCTTTCATCATTTGCTTGGAAGAACCAAGCAGTGAGTATGAAATTAGGAATATTTTCTATTTTCGTTGGTGGGTTTCTGCTGCTGTGTGAACAATGCAGATACAACTCTGTTTTGTAAGGGCGTCGAGATTTGACTCTTCGTTCTTATTTTTACACTTGTGAACCAGCTGTTTTAGCTGGCATTGTGCTAGAAGACGTTTATCTTCGGTTTTTGATGATTTTGTTCATAAATGTGATGAACTAGAGGCAGTTGGAGTTAGAGGCTGTGCAGTTGGGCAGACATATTCTAAGTCGTAGTTCTAGAGGATCTGACAAGCATGCATGTGAGGAGATGAATTCCTCGCACCCTATTTGGAACACATCATTATTAGAATATAAATCTCCGTATGGCTTCTATATTGATGTATGAAGCACTTAATTTCATCGATATTGGGCCTTGGCAGTCTCTCGAGGAATGTGGATATGAAAATTTTAATTATTTTAAAATTTCAATTTAATTTTCCCTCTTTCTGGAGGTGTACATGTGTCTTTCAGTTTGTTAACCTCAAAGACGATTTAATATGAGTTTACCTCTCATTTTGGAGTGTTTTGGTAATATGTTATGCAGATTCGGGGAAGAAGTGTTTTTTATGGTGGCATGTGGAAGGGTTATGAACTGCTGCGGTTACAGCAACCACTGAGCACTGTTTGGTGTAAAATTAGAATGGCTGATCACCTCCTCGAAACGAAGATGTCTTCAAGCTATCAAGCGTTACTTGTCTTGTGTATCTGCTTATCTTGTTGCTGTTCAGTGTCTTTATCAGTGCGCATTATAGGGTGGGTCACATCAAATTTTTGGCAATACTTTTTTGCCGTAAATATCTATAGACGTGTGCTAGCCATACTTGTTCCATTTCGACCATCTGCAATGATGTGCAAGTTTTGCGAGATTTGATTAGTATAACGATTTAATGCTTAGAGGGGGACTGTAACAATATTATTAAGTATAAAAATCAGATTAGGGTTTTCTACAGAATGATACTAGTATCTGTTTTCAGCCATTTATCCAAGCTTTCCGTTCGTTGTAAATCAAAGTTGCATGTTTCAAACCACAATTGTAAGTTTTAACCGTATTCAATATGTTCCCTGCGATAGGAATTCAATTATTGACGACCTGTGGTTCGTGTTTGTATTCTTTAAACAGCGTTTCCTTTGAGAATCAGTTATTCTTGTCTCGGAACGGATTGTTTTAGGACGGTAACAGTTGTTTAGACATGTTTTAATCTTAATTCCTTCGATATTGGTAGTGTAGAACATGTAAACTGTCGTGAGAGTAACTTGTCATGGTGGAGTTACGATTCGTCCTGGAACACTAAGGAATCGACTGGTACACCAATGATCCAAGTCTAACTGGTTGTATCTGAATCACTTGATGATACTTTTTATGCAGGGATGAAAAACAGAGAACAGATGGGCTGCTCCAGTATAATGCATTGCTGTGCAATAATACTGTGCAAGGGCGCTATTTACTGTCTGATAGTCGTGGTAAGATATTTAGTACCTGGGAAGTGTGCTGCCACTTCTAATCTAATCAACTCGCTTCTCATAACAGTTCGTACATTCCCCACATTTCTTTACATCATTGTCTGGTTTTGATAGTCTTTTGTTGTAGTCCGCAAAATCCGCACGTACTTTGTTTTTGAAACATTTCGTGTTAACCCTATAGTCATTGTTGCATTAGAACAGGCACTTCTTCAGTTTTCTTAAGGTTAGCGGCTGACCTTCAGATTTTGGCCTCAGGATATGTTTGCAATATCATGGAAGTAAATTCCCTCACAGGTTGTTGCCCAAGAGAAGGAGAGCAGTTTGCTTGTCAGTAAGAATTAGAATACCTATACTATGAATGATTTCTTTACAAGTGTACGCAGTACATCAAGTGACTCAGACGCAATCACTTGGATTTGGATTACTGTTATAATTTCTCAAAGTCGAAGATGAGGAATTGTTTAGATGCTCTACTTATACAGTTGGTTGGCAGTATTTGACATTCATCATACTTAAATGCAGAGGTTGCAACATAGGGTCGCAGTGCTGCAACTCGTACGAATATTGTGTATCGTGCTGCTTGAATCCAGTGCGGGTGTGTCATCTTCTTAACATTTTAATACTCTCTATCTGTTCGCTACAAATGTTGGTTCTATATACGCTCAGTATATTATTGCTTAGCGCTGAAGTGGTTGTGGTATAAATGCGCAGACAACACTTGAGGTTGTATTGAAGACGAAACTTGCTCGACAGCCAACTGCTGGTAAGTTTTCCAAGAAATTTTGTCATCCTTGCTTGGCTTGGGCTGTCAAACAGATCTTGTGCTTGCAAATACTGGCCTTACCTTCTGGATATCATGCGACAGGGTCGTGGACCAGTTTGTTTGACTACTGTTCAGGTCGCTGTCGGCACAACTCTCAGAGCGTGGTATGCAACCTGTACGGTTTTTGTGCTTGTTCCATGTGAGGATTGAAGCATGGACACTTCTCTAATGAATGCTCATGGATCAGGTTCACGAAAATGCTTACGTGAGTGAAGATCATCACTGTTTTTCAGCAAGATCTACTCCACCTGGTTTGATTCTATACTCTTACTCACATACAGTATCGATCATTCCGGAAGTCTGAAGCAGAAGTGATTCAAATTTTCATGGTTTTAATGGACTTGAAGTCTGATTACAGGTGTTCAAGTGGAAATGGATGCGGAGGATGAACTGGCAGATGTGTTTGTTTATGTTGGAAGGTACTAATTTTTTATCACTTCCATCTTCGCTTCATTTGGTTTGCAACGCTTACCTTTGACGAACTTTTGACCTTTATCCTCATAGCCTCCTTGTACCTACTCAATTGATTTGGTACAGCTTTCACACTTTGATGGTAGCCATGAACCGAAGACATAGCTAAATGTATTTTTTACTCGTTTCTTCTGAAGGGTAAAAAAGTGGTCTGCTGATTTGAACTTAACTGTTTGTTATGCAGAGAAGGACTGTCTTGTGATGCAACTTGCAGTGCACAGAAGCTCTCTTGCAGAGAGGAGAAACTTGCAGCTCTCAACAACTGTGCAGAGTAAGCCCTGGATAGACTGATGTATTTAAATGAACTTACTTGCACAAGGATTTTTTTCGTTTTAACTCAAAGAGTAGAAGCGATAAAAATGCGATTGTCTACTGCATTGTTCTCTTGTTGTGCACTGTGAAAGTCTACAACTCTACTTTCGTTAATCGAAGTAAGATCAGCAATACTATCACCCGTTCTAGTATTTTTTGTCATGTCATGGATATCAGATCGAGGTATCAAGACTCAGATTCTGGAAATGTAACGTCAAAGTGGGGTGGATCATGTGCAGGTTACAGAAATATAACAAGTGCCATGGGCTCTGCATACCCAGCACTGGTCCGGATCAACCAGCAGAGGTTGTCAGTACAGCACCCAGACATATGGTACTCTCCTATCCTCACTTTGGTGTGTTTTCAGGATTGAGCTAGTTTGGGATACACAAGCATTCTAACCTGTTTATAATTGCTATTTACAGCACCCAGGTGCATGCTTGTACAATACTCAAGTCAGCCAGCTATCATGTAAGGGTTACCATCTTTTCAGTCGTCGACTTTGTCCCTGTGCGTGAAGGGTGGTACATGCACCTTGCAAGCTGCGATTTGGACTGGATATCTCTTCTCACAATCTGCCTGGACAAGATCAGGGTTTGTAAATTACATGAGCCATTTGGTAGCTGTGGTTCTGCTGGGAATCCTGTTAGACATCTCTCAATGTTGTTATAGTCAACACCTGGCACTAGCATAATGATGTATATGCCTGCTCACTGTGCCATGGTCCTACCTATGAAGAAGATTGTTTTTGTACTTGGAATTCATTGGGAATGATCAACTTACCAGTTTCACATTATTGCATCTTAATGTTGTAGTGCTTAAATTTACGAGTGGATACAGGCCATGGAGAGATTTCTGCATCCTTAACTCATAGTAAACAAAAATATGAGTAAAAAGATCTTACCCCTGCATTGATTACTGTAACCGTCTTTTAAATAAATGAGGTTGCTTGATGTTACGAAATTGATAAGATTTCTGATCGAGTGCAAGTTTTTGAACCTCGTTTTTTTCCTTCCATGCTGATACTTTCTGCAGACCGGCGAATGACAACTTCACTGCAAGCCTTGTGAGCCTTAATTATACATTGTGTGTGTGAGTGCTTTATTTTTGTCCTCTGGGGGTCGGCTAGCAGTGTTTGAGTCGTCAATCTGGCTCATCAGCCTGAGTCTGTCCATTTTACTGGGGGCAATTACTTGTTTCAATGACATGCCACCATTTCGCATAGCAGCTATTTAACGTTGCACTGAATTCTCAATTGGGGTGAAGCGAAGACCAAAGCTGGTAATGATAGCAATTCAAGAGTCTGGCTTTCGTCAGTCCTGACACGACGCCTTACAGAATTTGCTAAGGTTTGTACATCCTTCGTACATGGCATCACAAAAAGGGAATCAACGGGCTGGTCGCCTTCACGAGCTTGCAGATGGCACAGTAGTGGTGGCAGACGCAGAGCAGGTTTAGGGTAAAGATATGTAGGCCCCTGTTCGGGGCAACCGGATTACCATTTCTTACGGTTGCAATCTGTCGAATAGTATGCGGATTGAGAAACTGGATCATCGATTAACCAGTTGCCTGTTGATGAGATCTTACGAAATTGTCTACGTCTTTTGACCCTCGCACTACACAAGCGATTCCGTTCATCCTAATGTTAACCTCGATGGTTGCTAAAAGGTATAAATTCCATTGTTCTAATCTTGATTTATTGTATCTATAATGTAGATACTTAATATTCGAGGTACGCCTGACGAATTGGATGGAACTTGGGGGGGCTTGTGACAGCTACAATACCTGCAGCTAAGCTGCATAGAGTAGGTAACCTCATTGTTAAAGTTCGATCTTCTGATGAGCCTCGTGGGGTCTTTTATAAAAGCTTGTTTCGGCGGAGTCTGAAAGGTACCAACTTCTCATGAGCCCCTAAGTCTGGACTGTAGCAGAGTACGACAGACGGAAGCTTGTGCTTTTAGTGGTCCAAACAAACAGAAATGAGGGCAGCAAGTTATTAATTAATTAATTAATTAATTAAGTTTCTCCTGCTCTTTGAGTGAATATCTTCTTGCACATTGAAACTGGAAAGTACTCTAAAAACAACCGAAATTGCTATGTTGAATACAGACAAATGCATACAAATGAAGTTAGATGTTGTGCCAAAAGACACAGACTAAACCCATAACGCTAAACCTGGAAAAGTCTTTAACAGATTCACACTGTTTCGCTTTAGCAGCCGTGGTGCTGACAGATGTGGTGATTGGTTTGTTATTTACAATACCCACGTGTCCAGAAAGAAGGCCAAAAAATAACAAAAACAAAAACTGAAGCAAGGCTCAATGATGATTCAAGGAGAAGGACATTGCAGGGCAATAACTTTGTACCACCTGTGGAACTAAAAGCTCCTACCTCGTTACCTGGCATTCCTGAATAGATAGTTTTAAACTGAATGTTTTATGGAATGTTTACTTATTTTTAACTGAATTTTTTAAAAATTTTTATTTCATTGCATTTCTATAAAAATGATATATTTCTATCAAGTTGTTATTTTTGAACTTAAAAATGCTTATTTAGTTGCATGATTTAAAGAGTTAAGTAATTTTGTACAAACAAATTTCATTCCAAAAATATGGAACATTTTTTGATAAAGAGATCTACTATAACATTAAATTAAGAAAATGAATATAATAATGTAGTTTTATACATATATGCATATGCATATACATGTATATGTATTCATTTAATAAATAATTACAAATATTAATATTAAAAACATCTCTTACCATAGAAATTGGTTTTAAAATCAATAATACATATTGGCTAAACCAATATTTTACAAAACGGCTTTCAATCAATAAGCCACCAAACTCTCAATTAAGTAAACAAACCAGTTGTTCATATACAATTCTAGCAGAAAGCAATATAAAAATCACACTTACACAAACTGCAGAAGGTTAGAGCAGGCACTAATTTACACGCATTACAGAAACCCTAATCAATAAACCATGGGCTAGTGCTACATAAGCTCAGAGCCCATAGTGAGGTCATGTGTGCAGTGCATTATGGCATCAAAGCTTCCAATCTTAAGTTAATGAAGGTCACCGAGCACCTAACTCGCAGATACAGAGGGAGGTAAAAGCGAGAAAAGCAAGATGCTACATTACCGAAGCTGCTGCAAGCGATGCAAGAATTAGTGGGGCAAGGGCAGCACGGAAGCAACAAAGTAGCAGCACAAAGTACACTGGGAGATCTTTACTTAGTGAGGCGAGGTAAGCAATTGCCATGATAATTGCTGCCACAGGCTTTTGTTCCAAGATGGTCTTTGGATCGGATTATTGCAAACTCTAGTATAATTCCAGGATGGCTTGACGTTGTACCAACGTAGATTGAAATGAAAGAATGGCTTAGGCTCAAGAACTCTCACCCAACCTCACATTCAGACAGAGTTTGTCAAGACAAATTCATTCTCACCTGCATGGGGTCGTTTTCGGTTGCGGCTGGCAGGGAACCAGACAAGCGAGCAGTTAATTTGAAAGCTCTTCCTCGCAATTGAACATGATAATCTGGCTGCCCAACTTTTCTAAGCAAGATGTTGCCGGTCGATTGGTTTCGTCATTGGCCGCGCATGCGGAAAATGCAGCAGTTCATACAGGACCGTGTTGTTTGTGTTGGTTTGGTATAGTATGCCTGGTTGAAGTTCGTTACAACCGCCTGCTAATATAGTGCAATAGAAGTGGCGAATCCAGCATGCATCTGGTTATAGGCGATTAGCTATGACTTTGGCAAATCAAAAAGAGGCCAGCATGATGCGACCCCTAACAACATTGGTCCATTACTTCTCTGGTGCACGTACTTGTTTCGAGATCCGATAAAGTATCCAATTTTTTTGGATATTTTTCTCCCCATTAGAGTCCAAACTTGAACCTATGTGCAGCCTCATCAACCAGTCCCGGCAAAAATGTGTTTTATATTCAATATAACAAGTCGAACAAACAAGGAAGTACATCAATCCACACGCCTCGATCAGTGTGGAGCACATTTCCAGCTATTCCTAGAAAATTGTCAGAGACTAGGAATCGGAAAAGATTGTCTAACCTCCATGTCACCATTGCTCTGCCTGGAAACTAGTTGAACTTGGACTTGGAAACGTCATTTCAATCAGCTTGGAAATCTTTGAGCACCAGCAATAATATGCCAATAACAATCAATGAAAAGCTCGCAATAGAACTGTGATGCTGGTTTTGAAACTTATTGATCTACTTATAAATCAAAAACAAAGTTTCTAATTCACGAGCTAATGCCGCTATCGTCTACGTCTATGATTTTAGATTCAATCTGAGCAATCAAGTAATACTCAACCTCCACCACCTGCGTTTGTATTACAAAAGAATAGACCATTGTTGCCCCACATACTCACTCTTCCCATTCCAGCCACGTAATAAGTCGTGCATTAGTTGCGTTGCTCTAAGAAATTTGAGTCCTACCTGTTTGCCAAATATTCACGATCTACTTGGTGCACCTGGCCCTGCTGTCAAAGCCTTGTATGTATTAACTTTGACCGGAAGTATTTGCTGGTCTATGTGAGTCATGATCCGCAAATATTCACTTGCCAACCAATTGAATGCTTCTCCGCACACAACAACCGCCACAACTCACCGAGTTGTTGTAACCAAGACCAAATTGGAATTCGCTGTAATTCCGCCACACAACACATGAAAACACAAACAGTAATCTAAGAAGAATGAATGCCGCTCCTCCACCAACTACGAACACCGCAACTGAGGCAGCCGCATACCATGGAAATTTGGAGCTCACAGATTTGAGAGAACAAGAGAAAAAGAGAGAGAAGGACCCTTGGCCCCAGAACCCTTCACAATAGCTACGTCCGAAAAATCCGGGGACCTACTTGGGCTGCTGACCAGGAGTAGAGTTGCCAATCCTAGACTCCAGCCAGCACTTTGCTCCCAACCGGGATTCAAAAAAAAAGAACAAAACATGAGAATTAAAATTAAGGTCTACTCCAAATTTAATTTTTTCACTCAAGTAAAAATTTAATTTGACTTCTTTAATTCTCTTCCTTAGCTTGGGTACCAAAAGGATGCCCTTCTATGAGTCACAAAATTGACCTAGTGGTGTGTTTTAGTACAAAAAAAAAATGCTCTTATGGTACTTAAGATCACTATTTTAGTGAGTTAGTGTAGGATTTTTGAGATAAATAGCAAAAAATAAGATTTTAGTACAAGACTAGGTCTCTTGTAGAATTCTCTTGAGAAGGAATTTTAAAATAAATATTTTTCTTTAATATAGCTAATATAGATTTAATTTTTTTTTATATAGTAGTTTTGTTTTTATTAAAATTTTAATCAACTAGGAGCTAAAATAGAATCTTTAATTCAAAAGAATCCAAAAAGAAAAAAAAAATAGAAAAAAAGAAAGGAATATCCTTATTAGCTTTAGACAACTAAAATAGAAGGGAAACAATAGAATAGAAGAGAAAAGTTGAGAGGAAGAAAAGAAAAGAAAAGAAAAGAAGAATAGTAAAAGAAAAAAGAAAAAGAAGATGATTACAAGGAGGAGAGGCTACCTCTTTGTCTAAAGGTATTTAAGCTGCCTCAGATCCCATCTCTCTTGTGTTTTTTTCTTTATTTTTCTTGTGTTGCAAAGAACTCTATAGATTGTAGAGTGGAGGCTGGTCGTGTGTTGGTTCTTGACTGTTTTTTTTCTGTATTCTCACTGGAGGTCCACTATGTTGAAGTAGTATGCAGCAAGCAATAGCATTGGTATTGTAGTTGCTTTAGTATGCTGCTTCCATTTCTTCTTTGGTTGCCATTCCAATGGGCATGAAGGTGCTCTTTTTGGGTTGATTGAGTTGTCGTTGACAAAAGTCAATATTCTTGGTTGCAGTTCGAGATGGTTCTAGCAGCATGCATTGTTGTCCATGTGATCTTCTTGTTGATATTCTTTTGCTCAGTGGGTAGTATGGTGTGTTGTACTACTTGACATCAGCAAGATTGTGGACCAATTTTTTATATTTTTTCTCTCTTCTCTAAAACTAAACGCTACGTAGGATCTGGATTTTTGGCCAAGTTTTTTTATTTTTTTATTTTCTCATGAAGTTGGTGTTGCAATGTGGTAGCAAAAGAGTGGCAATTTCTTGTCTTCTTATTCTTGCGGATTAAAGTTCCTTCAATCTAGTATGGCGATAGTCAAAACCTAGTTGATTTGATACTCTTGTTGAAATTTTCACAATGATTTGTGTTTGGATGTGGCTAAACTATTGAATTCTATATTTTTGTTCTTGCATTGTGTATGAAAAGCAACTATATGGTAAATCCATTGAATTCTTAGTTTTTTTTGTTGATGACCTTAGTGAGGTTGGTATTCAAGTTTTGTCAATAGGACTTGTAAGTACCTAGTGCGGTGGTTCATGCTTTGATTTTCCTAGGTGTGTCTAATCTTTATCAAGTCTCTTTATTAGTTTTTTCTTATGTAATGTGGTAATCAAGATCTGATTAGTGGCTACAAAAGAAAATTAAATTAAATTAAAAAAAGAAAAGAGGGAGGCACTTTGTAATGTTTTTTTTACATGGATGTTGTTGCTAGTATAATAATATTTTATTGAGGTAGTGAAGGACTTAAGCAATATTTGGCTAGAGGTTCTTGCTTCTCCTATTGGACTTTTGTGGAGTAGTATGGGATAAAGTTGTTTGATGACTTTGATTAGTAGTAGAAATGTTATACGAGAGGAATTATATTATGCTATTAGAAAAGAAGTAGAAAATTATATTTATTAAGTAGTAGTGTAAACTCCTATAGTATAGAATACAATGTGTGACCAGTAACACTTTGTTAGATATTATGGTTGCAAAATTATCTTCTTTTGTTGTTATCTCCTACAATGACAATGAATCATGGACATACATATTTACTTTGATATTTAGCTATATGATTAAGTACAAATAGATAAAAATAATTTTATTTCATAACATTTTCTAAAAAAGCTTCTTAAAAGTTTTATAGATGTTATTTTGACTTTACATGTGTTTGTAGTTGATTGGTAGAATAGAAACTTGATCAATAAGTTAACCACATATTGAAAGCTTGTAAAATAAGTTAATTATGTAGCATACATATAGAAAACTAACCTTGTAAGTTAAGATACGTGTCTTGCAAAGTCAATACATTTTAGAGGTCCTATAGGATATCACCACATTATTGGATAGAGAGAATTTGCCTTAAGAAAGCATTGGGCTTGTAGCTATTACTAAATGCTCAATCGAGCCTCTAGATTAAAAAAACACCAATTCTATATATAAAATTTTCCATATAGGAGCAATTACATCAATATATAAGCTTTAAGTACCAAAGATCACAAAAATGTGATAAAAATATTATAAAAACTTGTATATTCTTAAGGTAATTTTTTTTTCAAACTTCAATAGCTTATATCTCACGATTGGATTATCCAAATAAATCCAAATTTTACATGAAGTATTAATGTACTTTTAACAACTACCACAACAAATTTTAACTATAAATTTATTACAGATCTTGAGATATTGCCAAAATTCTAATAGTAGCTTCAAACTCTTGCTTAAGTCATGTGCAATTTCCTCATATCTCACAATCTAAGTATTTAAATACCATAAAATTTTGATATATAGCTTTTTAACTTAATAACATATACTTCAAAAAAAATTTAGCTAAAAATTCATCTAAAAACTCAAGATATGGCTCCAACCATTACTATCAACAAAATGACTCACTTATTGCTTGTGAATTACATATGGTGTCTTCAATGTTCTATAACTTCTTCATACAAATTCCAAAGGCAAAAATTTTGTCATAAAAAATATAGATCTTAAAATCATCCTTGCGGTTGCACTTCTTGATTTCCAAAATCTATCATAAAACTCTTCTTATCTTCAAAATAGCAATAGTATGTCTTAAAGACACATTAACTTCAAACAACTATAACTTCATCACCTTAAGTCCAAATCTTCTAAAATTTGTGCATAAGTTTTAGCTCAAATCCTAAAACTTGCAATCTTTGCTTTTGATCCTCAAATACTCTTTCTAAAGTTACCAAAATCTTTGTTGTGGTTGCTGAAAACTTGTTGAATGCCTATTGGGCATGGCTTTTAATTAATAGGAATGAAGATCTTTACTTTTTTCTTTCATCTGACTATGCCTTGATTTCATCCCTCTCCATAAGTCTCCTAATAGTTTAGATTTTCATCTTTAGGCTTCTACCTTTTTTTAAAGCTCTATACTAAACATCTAAATCTTATATAATTTATATATTATAATAAAAATAGATGAAATTCAAAATAAAGTTTCTTATATCTACTTTCTTTAAATTAATTTATTAACCATTCTAACATACATCAAGACTTATGAATATAAAATATGTTTTAATTAATTTTTACATACTATAAGCATTTACAATATGAAAATGTAGCTCCTAGTTAAGAGTATATATGGAGGCAAGAATGAAGCTTTTTTTTATTCTTGTCAACACCATTCTAGTCCTTAGTCTTATTTCAAGTCTTTCAAATTTTCTTGTCTTTGGCAATAATCATTGTAATTTAATATTATATCATCTTTGAGTAACATTTTAATTCTTTTAAGTGATTGTAGAATAGGTAAATAAACTTTGTGGTAAGTTATTGGTTGGTTATTGATAACCTTGAGAATTAGACTGATGGTTAGGTAGTTTAGTCGATAACAGTAGGTTGTTAGTGGAATAAATGGTTAAGAATTTAAAGGGTAATAACCTTTGGAATCCGTTGGCCGACGGATCATCTTTTTAGTAGGATAAATAGGTTGAGGAAAGAGAGTCGTAAGTTGAGAGCCAGACTGTGAGACTCATAAGCCGAGAGCCAAATTGTGAGAGTCATAAGCCGAGAGCCAGACTGTGAGAGTCGTAAGCCGGGATAAGCTTGGTGCTACCTCTTTGTTTTTTTTGCTTTTATTATTTACTTATGAAGAATTCTGATTGAGAGAAGTATTGTTGAATTGATAGTCGTAGAATGGATTAAGTATTAAATCAAGATGGAAGTAGTAAGCCTTGGTATTTTGTAATTTGATACTTGATTTCAGATAGCCAGAATACAGTCAATTGTGACACTAACAGATACAATTCATATAACCAGTCTTTCCCCGTGTTCGAATCCACCTCTATTAGTTCAATTGCTTTGGTATATTGAAGCTTGAACACAACAAGAACAACATTTTGGCACCGCTGTAGGAGAAATGATAACAATATGAAATGTTAGAAATTGATTGTATGGGAGATGGAATCATATGTTGAATGAAAATGTGAAAAGAATCAATTTTAGGGTTACAAATATGTGAGTTATAATTCAAGGCAATATTCATTTTACTGAGAAGAATGAAAGATTATGAGTGATAATCATGAAGAAGATGATTATCAAAGAATTAATCAATAAGCAAAAGAAAGACAGGAGCAATTACACATAAGAAATATCCTACGGGAACGAAAAAAAAGAATTGCAGATCCAAGAAAAACCAAAAGAAGAAAAATTTAGATTCAAATAGTAAGGAGACCAGTGATAACACCAATGGCCATGGGAGTGCCAAAAGTACCAATTGCGATACAAATGGGAGCAGTAGGAGACCAAATTACAAGTGTGGCACCATTACCTACTTTTAGTGGTTGGCCAGGCTTTGATCTCGATCACTATATATCTCAATTCTTCATAGCCTGCGTGGCTAATAATGGTAGAATTGAAGACATTTAGTTGAGATGGTTGTCAGCAACTTTAAAAGATACAACTTTTGAATGGTTTATTCGGCAACCAGTGGATAGATTTCTCAATTGGGA